CCCAAACTAAATAGGGCCAGACCCAGTCACTGCCTTCTCCCCACTTCTCTTTCCAGTTGTCCACTGTCTATCAGAAAGTGGAGACTCTCGAGTAGAGAGTGGGGGCAGGGTGCAGAGGGGTACAAAAGATTTTGGAGCTAGCAAGAAAACAAAAGAATGACAAGAAGGAACAGCTGTTTGTAAAGGGAAACCTGAGACAGGCACAAAGCTCAGGCCCTAATTCCAGGCTCTCCTGGAGCCAGGGTAGGGGGCCCCCAAGGTCAGAGATTCTAGGGGTGGGCAGATAGGAGCACTTGGCCCCACTCTGGGGTGGGTCCCTTCTCCCAGGCACTCAAACAACTGGTGCCTCATTCCTCTCCCTGGGCCAAGCCCCCTGCCTCTTCCTATCCCCCTCTGCTCCCATCTTTGGGGTTGGGGCCTCCTTTCTAATTTCCCTCTTTCCATACTGAGGTCCACTCTAACCTGCCCTAGTGCACCCCCTCCTTCCCCATTCCTGGAGTAATTTTAGCAACTTTTCCTCTGAACTCCTGCTGGCATGTCACAGCAAATGGCCCCTGTTTGGGCCTGACACTTGATCAGGGTGGTGACAGAGTTCAGACAAAGCAGGCACCATGCCGGGGAGGGGAGGGGAGGGCAGGGCAGGGCAGGGCAGGGGAGACAGATCACCTTCCTTTCTCTCCAGGCCTTATTTGGTCTACCTTGGTGAAGCCGCCCTCCCTCTAGCCCCTCTTTATTTATAGCATTTTGCTCTGCTCGCCTTTGTCTTGTCTGCTCTCACTCTGTAGTACAGTCTGAACTCTCCCCACCCACCCCCACATGGTGGGGCCCCAGCCCCTCACTCTCCCCACCAGGAATGTGCATGTGAGCAAAGGCGCTGGCTAGGAGCTGAGGCCCAGATTCCACTTCTACAAACAGTTGAATAGAGCTGCCAAGAGGAAGGGTCTTTGTTTTGGTCAGCCCTTAGATCCTTACTGATGAGAACAATGCCACATTAGGCACTCAGTAAATACTTGCTGAGTGAAGGAATTAGCAAAGCTGCTGCTCAGTCTTCAGACAGTAGCTAGTGGAAGGCAGAGAATCATAATAGAGCCAAGGGCAGGTGCTGGAGGGCTGGGGAGTGAGTGTGGGGGGGGGGGGGTCTTTAAAGACATCAGACCCTCCAATCTGTCTCCCGATCGATCGTGGGGACATGAGGCAGAGCCTCTGCCTAGCAGCAGAGAGAGAAGTTCCAGTCTGCAATGGAGTGCTCGAACACAGTAATGCTGTAACACCAGTAGGTCAGTGCCCTCCCAAGGCCCAAAGGGGGAAACAAAGTTTAATTTACTATACGTAGAAAAGGTTTCCCAACTCCACAGCCAAGACGGTTGGCCCACAGTGAAGACACCGACTTTGAAATGGCTCGCCATCCTTTGGGCATCTCAGTTGCCTGCATGTGTGCTCGGTTGCCTGCATCTGCAGCTTTGAACTTGGGAAGCTGGAAGGGGAGGATAAAAAGAGATCTTGCCCTTTGTCACCAAACCCTGAGGTCTCTAGCAGCAGGCCTAATTCCTCGGCACCTGGGAGGGCCTGGCCCAGACCCACAGAGTTTATTCCTCCAGGTCTGTTAGCAGCAGAGCCCGCGTGGGCCGCCGCCGCAGCAGCTGTGGGCTTCGGCACTGCGCAGCTGCACGGCATCGCCGCAGTCCCTGCTGCTTTCGTGATGTACCTCCCCTTGCCCGCACCCTCCCCCACCCCACGGCTGTTCAATGCCCACAGACTGTGCCTTGGTTACCAAGCAGCCCCCACGGGGGG